TATTTTATTTTTATTTTATTTTCTTTCACTTTTGGTGGTTTCTAATCGGCTTGCAGGTTTTTAAGCACCTACTATTGAACGTGTGAAACAACCAATGGTCTCCGTTTCAAATCCTTAATATGTAATTGTGATAAATACTTTTTAAAAAAAAAGTGTTACCAGTAGTAATCTTATTAAATTTAGATAAGATTATCTTCAATGAAAAAAATACACGTGTGGTTTAGGATATATGTTCGACGAAAGTTAACCTAAAATATTAATTTTATGTAATAAAATATGTTTAAGTTGAATAATGGTTAATATTAATTTAAGTATGAATATATAGGTTTTAAAGGCGTTTTTATTCCTGAAGTATCACAATTATGCAATTTTAGTCTTCTAAATTTTAATTAAAAAAATTTAATTTTTCAAGTATTATAATTGTGTATGGAGATGGGGATTTTGACAAAAAGAGGGGATTTTATGAATAGAGGTACTCCAATCAAAGTATGGGGGTTAGAGGGGTCTATGTAGAGACGAGGGAGAGAAAAAAGATCAATATAATGGAAAGATTTGAGAAAAGTGTGTGGTGGAGAGAGTACCGAAAATGGTTTGATAGGGCCTCTAAATGAAGACTAGGTGATGGGGGAGAGTATCTTGTTTTAGAAGGATCAATGGGTAGATGGAGGAAGTTTAAAAGAAAAGTATTCAATAATGTATTCTAACTCATTACAGAAGAACTCACTCGTGGCAGACATGGAAGCATGGGTGAATGGCATTTGGAAATGAGGAAATAGGTGGAGATGAGAGTAGTTTGAGTGGGAGATAAATATAGTGGAGGAGCTTAGAAGGGAGTTGGAGAGTATAACATCAACACAAGATATCGATACATGGGTTTGGATATAAGATCCTATGGGGTTGTTTTTATATCAAATCTGCATATTGGGTCTTGATTAACAATAAAAGTTGTGGAAATGAAAAGGAAGTCTACAATTTATTATAGTGGTTAATAATATCGCTTAAAGTTATACATTTTGTATGAAGACTTTTCTAACAAGGGTTTTCTGTCGAAATTGCGTTGAGAATAAGAGGAATATAGCTAGATAATGACCAATATAAATGTATTTTTTTTATGAGGATGAAGAAGAAAATTTGTCATATGTGTTTTAATTGTAGCAGATTTACCCAATATGCCTCACATGTTGTAGGTGGGTGGGAGCTTACATGATGTCATATCAAGGTCCCAAACAGAATTTTATACATGTCAAATTGAGGTTGTAAGGGCTAAATGTGGAAACTTAGACGATAATGTGGTGCTCAATCTTGTGGAATGTGTGAAGGGTAAGAAATAACATCATTTTTAATGGTTCATCATTGATCATGATAGTATTATGTAGGATGCGATGTTCTTCTATCGGTGGTGGTTGTATAAGGTAAATAAGGGTACAAAATTTAACTTAAGTCAATGAATAAACAACATCTAAACACGTATTTGACTTCAGTAAGATGATGAAATCTTACAACAAATGCGTGAAATCAAAAAGGAAAGAGAACAATTTAATTTCAAGGTAAAAGTCAATAAAGCAAAATAAATGGTTTATATCAATTTCAGTAGCAATTTTACAATTTGTTGTAAGTGAGTCTATGCATTTGTTGTGATTTTACAATTTGTTATAAAATGGAGCTCTTGTTATTCTTCGACACTACAATGTCCTTGTTTAAGGAGAAATGTTGGTTCAATAATATTAGTGTACTTACCCCAATTGACACTTCTTGTGCGAAATTTATTTTAACTAATAAAAGTGTTGACTTAAAAAAAAAGTATCATAATTGTGTTATTTTGGTCCTTTAATTTTTAATTGACCAAATTTAATTTATCAAGTGTTACATTATACAATTTTAGTCCATCTATTTAAAATTTAACGATTTTTGTCGATACAAAACTAACGGATGATATAATGTATCAATATATTTAATTAATTTTTTGTAATTTATTTCAATATATATTAATTTATATTTACAAAATTATTAATTTATCTATAAATATAGAAACAATATTATTAATATTAAATTATCAATAATAATATTATAATTCTAATAATATATATAAACTGTATTTACTTAGTAATAATATATATATATATATATAATATAATTTATATAATTTAGATAAAATTAAAATTATATAGTCATAATATTTAAAACTAAAATCATTCGATTAAAATCTTAAATATCAAAGTCAAACAATTATAATGGGATTAAAATTACAATTTCTCAAATATGCATTCGTACAAGAGGAAGGGCAAAATTATCATTTCATGCTACTTTAATGTAATTAAATATAGTAATTTTGATTTGGATCAATGAGGCAATTGCAATACTTTTGATCAACGATCAAGATTAATTCAAGTACAATTTATAAATAGATAAGAAAATAAATAAATAGATATATGCATAGATATTTTTTTATACTGAAATTAATAAATAGATATATAGATAGCTAACTAAAGAAACGTGCAAAAAATATATATGCATAATAATATAGTTATTAAATTTTATTTTTATATAAATATTAATTAAATAGCATGTTATGAATTATTTAAAATTTAACTACATAT